TGACGCCTAGAGGTCAGTTTTTCCCATGACGGGTAAGAACCATATGTTGAATTGGACAACCTACCAGGCACGGTCCTTAAGCCACATTGTTTGTTGTTTAATTAATCAGAAGGGGGGAGATGCTGAGAGCCATTGCCAAGTAGGAATGACGCATGGCATGACCCAGGTCATTTGCAGTGACATTGCATGTAAGGTGACCTTGCTCAAGGACCAGGGCGGATCCGGGTTTAGGGCGCTCCTTGGGTTTAGGGCGCTCCTTGGGTTTAGGGCGGTTCCAGGTTTAAGGTGTATCCTGCTGGGAATAGGGCATATCCTGCTGCCTCAGGCGCGCCCGCTCTTTGATTTCCCATTGAGTTCTTGCGGGATTCAGAGAGTATTTTGGGATACAGAGCCCAGTGGAGGTGGATTTTGCCCAGAACGTGTGTGTAAAGTGCCGGTGACAGTTTGAGAATAAAGAGTTGCTGTTTGAATCTACAAGGTGTGTGGTGGCTGGTGATTTTGTGCCCAGCCAGACTGTGGCAGTTCCCTATATTTACTATATGAAATTCTAAAGCACACTATCCATCTGACCTTTCCCCACTGCCTACATCAACTCTCCTTCCCTGTCCTTCCTGATACTCTAGCTAGTTAACTACCGTGAAATCTGGTCAAATGCTCATCTCAGCCCTAATACCTTTAAACTTGTAATTTCCTTCTCCCTCTTACCCTGACAATCCATATTTGTCTCCTTAGAACAGCTTATAATAATTTCATTATCAGTCAGTAGTTCTTAGTAAGAGATTGTTATATTGGAAGGAGAAGGCAGTAGGGTGAAAGGAATAGAGGAAAAAGGATTTAAAAAGCTTCTATACCCTTGAGAATTACTGTTCCACTCATATTACTGCTCTAGACTAGAAGTATCAAGAATGTTTTGCCAAAATAATTATTGTAAGTAAATGACGTTAAAATTTTCTTGAGCGTAATATTTTGATCATTTATTCAACAAGTAGTTACTGAATGCCCTTCCTTGTGGTTAAGTACTGTAGGCACCAGAAACAGAACAATGTGGACCAAACAATACCCACAAAAATTCCTGTCTTCATGGAATTTATATTCTTATAACATTCTCTCAATTTTAAATTCA